CCTCAAAGTCAGCAGTTCGAAACTACCAGCAGTTCTGTGGGAGAAAGATGAGGCGTTCTGCTCCCGTAAAGATTTACAGCCTCGGAAGCCCTGTGCAGGGTCACTATGAGTCGGAACCGACTCCACGGTATTTGACAACAACAATGCCAAAGTTTAGCTGTGGATTGTCTGTTCTATTTTACTGATGTGTCTTTTCCTGTATTGTTACTGTAAAGTGCCATCTAGTTGGTTCCAACCTATAACAACCCTGTATAGGGTTTCCGAGGAGCAGCTGGTAAGCTTGAACCGTCAACTTTGCAGTTCGAACGGCTTTTCAGTCTGGCGCATTAGCCCACAGTGCCACACCAGGACTCCTTTCCTGTATTAGTGTGATACATTTTAGCTACTTTAGCTCTATGACACATGTTAATATCTGGCATGACAAGCCCTCCATCATTCTTCTTTCTTAGACTGTTCTTAGGGTTTTGTTTTGTTCTGGGAAAATACACAAGTTGTATTTGTAAAGAAGTAATATTTATAAAGTCTGTATTATAAATAAATACATTTTCCCTATTTATATTGTTTATTATCAACCCTCCTTCCTTTTAGGTTATCATATATTAAAATCCACACCGAGAAACTACTACTATGATTTATGTAAATATCAATCCTAGGAAGCTTGACTAAGGGAAATGTTAAATCTTAAGAGAGGGGAATGACAATTTCTTCAAACAGAAAAAAATTTTTGAGACAGAAGAATCCTGGGGGTGGAGGGGGGAAGAACTCTGAAACTGGATTGGGGGATGGTTTAAATCAGAAACTAAGATGTTTAATCTGATTACTCAGAAAAAAGGGTTGGGTTGATAAGTCAGCCAGCTAGAAGTGCAATAGAGACATCAATCTCTAAAAACCTCCTAAAGTCAAAAGAGCTTGAGTCCAGACAGGGCTCTACAGTTAGTCTATTGTGCACCAGTCATTCATCACACTGAACTAAAACCATTTTTCTACCCATTCTCCACCACATCTAGCCTGTACCCATATGACCATCTTTGTAGGGTGTGTGGCAACGTGCTGAGAAGGAAGGCACCGGTCTTAAATAGGTCTTGAAAGTCTTCATTCCTGATGTCTTGAGGACAGCCCTGGTGACACAATAGTTAAGTGCTTAGCTGCTACCTGAAAGGCTGACAGTACAAACCCACCAGGCGCAGGAGGAAAAAGATGACACCCAACTATAATAACATGGTACATAAAGGAGTCAGGAGTACCACTCAAAGTGGGGCACATGAAGAAAGTCATACCCGGATACCAGCTGTCCCTGGTGCTGGCAGTGTGTCTGGAGGGGCTGTTTCCACAGTCTTTTGTAGAAATCTTCTGGAGATGCCCATTTGACCACCTGAGGCAGGGTCCCGGTGGGTAAAGGCCATATCTGTCCTCCTGGATCCTGTCAGATGCTCTGGTTGCCGGGCACCCTGCCTGGCAGGCGAAACTGTTGCTATGACAACTCCTAGGCCCACATGTCTGTGATTTTTTTTTTCCATTTCTTGTTTCCTAGTAGGTACTGAGGTATTCCAGGGACAGGCAAGCATGGTTCCCAGGACTGAATGTCCTCTGCTCCAGGAAGGGGGTGGCAAGGGAGAAAGAGAAGTGGAATTGTGTGTGTATGTTATGACGGAATGAACCTTCATCAATGTAAATGCATATGCACTTGGCTTGGGTTTAAATGTGTGCATTTAGCTGTATGTCAATGCATGTATCAGCATGTTCGCAGTTTATCAACCTATCTGCTTTCCTGCTCCCCTCTCCTCTCCCTTGCTCTAGTGCTGGGAGATTCGCCCCAGCTCTCCCCCACTCCCACTCCATCTGTGGAAAGTGCTGAGTCATGGCTCCAGCTGGGTTTCTGTGTCTCCCATCCCCCAACACCTCTTTTCCTTAAGCCAACCCTCACCCCTGGAGAGCTCTCTCTCGCTAGCGCTCAGGGCCCCCTTCCTGCCACCACTCTCAGCTCCACTTACACTTCCCAGGTTTACTGCTGGGCACCTCACTCTGCTTCTCCCTCTTCCTCCTTCTTCTCAGAAGACAGTTTTTCAGGCCAACCCTCCTTCCCATGCAGGATTCTGACCAAGTTTGACCCAGGAGGCTAATTCTTCTGTGCCTTCGTGCTGACCCTCCTTCAGCGCTCAGCTCTAATCTGATCTGGGCCTCATCTCATGCCTAGGGGTATGCAAGGAAAGTGAGATTTCATTTGACCCAACTCACTGAGACTCTTCTAATTCTAGGTCTTTAAGCACTAGATCACAGGTTCTTGCAGGCTAGAGTGTGTGTGTGTGTGTGTGTGTGTGTGTGTGGTAAAGGGAGGGTGCTGTGCCTATGGGTTCAGGGGCAGTGTTGGGAGCCCTCCAAGGAACAGGAGGAATCTCTAGGTTCTCAAGCCTCTCTCCTTCTCCCTTTGGGCTCCGGTAACCCAGAAATTCTAATCAGGTAGTTTTACTAACTAGCGCCAAATAAGGCAGTCTAGGATTGCTTCCCCAGCAAGAGGTGGGAGCGTGGAGAAATGGCCCCGCCCGTTCTGTTCAGTCTGGTTACTATGGCGACAGCCGCGAAGTGACCTGAGTGTTCCTTCCCTCCCTCCACCCAAACCAAGTGAGATGACGGCACCGCGCTGACTGCGCCAAATTCCAGCCAATGGGTGGATGCTCCCGCCTTCCTTTCCGCCACCTCTCCCCCCCACTTCACCCCACCCCACCCCCATTCTGCTTTCCCTCCCTCCCCCTCCCCCCGGAACTCGATTCACAAATCTGAACTGGGGATTTCCGGCTCCAGGCCGGGTGTGAGGACGCTGTACCCAAGCTTGAGAGTCGAGTCCTGTTCTCTTAAGAGGGCAAGTGGGAGCCGACATTTCTAGGTTCTTTGACACAGACTCCAGTAACTCGGGGCCAGAACAAATCTTTCCCTATCCCCAAATTATCTGGCAGACCTAATTGAGGCTGTGTCCGAAACTCACGCTGCCCCTCGAGCCCCACCAAGTCGGAACCCTCCCGTCAGCACCATGGACAGAGATCCCGGGTCTTGTTTCTGCAGGCCCTGCCGGGCTCTTCCCTGGTTCCTCTCGGCCCAGGCTGCGATCCCTGGCTGAGATGCTAACGGACACCCTGTATGAGCCAGGCTTTCCTGAGCCAAAGAAACAGTAAGAGGGGAGTTTAGGCATGTGACTAACAAGGCAATGGGGACAGAGCAGAAATCTCAGGCCAAATAGCTTGTGTTTCTTCATCTTGGAACCCCGAGATGGTTCCCTTCTCCATGCTGCCTTCCCTTCTCCCAGTGGATAACAGATGAATCTCAAGCGTGGATGAACCTCCCCCATGGCTGTTCTGGGTTGGCATGTCATAGCTGAAGCAGCTGAAAAGCAGCCCAGGCAGGGAATGGGGCTGAGTGTGGCAGTCAGACCCCATCTAAGAGTGATAAACAGATTTTAGTCAGGCCTGACTGGACTCTTGACCGGATATATGGTAGAAAGATAGGGAGGAAGAGACAAGCAATAATGATGACTAGCTAGTTCTGCCTCAGTGGGCCCATCATAGAAAGGAAACAACCTCTGCTGTCCTCATCACTCAGCCGCTAAGGAGCTCAGACAAGATGGAGGGCAGAAATTTAGCTTCATCGTCAAGCTACAATCTTGGGGAACCTCACTTTATTCTGCGAAATGGGAACCCATGGGGCAGGGGGTAAGGAGTAGCAGCAGCTCCCAGGGACTCGTCCTTCCTCACTAGGCTATCATCTCTTGTTCTGCCCTGGCCGTGTCAGTTCCAGTCCCACTCCCTCCCTCCCAGGGCCCAAATAAAGGCCGGCGCAGAACCATCTGCAGGCGCTTCCAGCGCTTTATAGTTCTCTCTGGAGTGACTGACGGACAGACAGACAGTACGGCCCGCGCCGTCGGCCCGCATCATTGGCACCTTGGACACGGCCCCAGGCCCAACCCATACCCTGGTCCCTTCCCGGGAGGATTCCGGACCGGCCCCGGCTCAGCACCTCGAACAGCTCCCGACCCACCCACCCACCCTTCCCCCCTCCCTCCGGAAATAAATAAATTAAAAGGGGGAAAACTAAGGATAGGGATGAGGGGCGCCCCTCTCCTAGAATGAGAAGAGTTTTCTTTCTCCTCCCACCCTTCAACCGAGGCGCCGCACCCCCGGGATAGCCTTCCAGGTTGATTTTTGCCCCAAACCTCAGCCTTCTGAAATCAGCATCCCCCTTTTCCCCAACTCCCGGCATGCAACACGTAGGAAAAAGAGGAGGTGGGGGCAGGGTGAGGGACGATCCTGGTGGGTGTCTGGGGACCCAGGTTGCAGCTGCCCACCTCACCTAAGTGGATCCAAATTAAGAACCAATGTGTCCTTTCGTCTGTCTAGGGGGGTGGATATGGGGACTCAGTCTGAGGAAGACATGGAGGGTATTACTGGCAGAGGGGGGAAGGCGAACAGGAGAGAAGATGGTGATTCATGACAGGAGAGGAGGAAAAGCGAACAAGAGGGAAAGGTGTTGATACAGGTGGAGGAGAAGAAACGGGGGCAATAGGAGACAGGCAGGTGGAGGGCGGATGGAAACACACACACACCTAAGGGATAGAACCTGGAAGGCCGAGGGGAGGCGGAGAGTTAGACAAGAGATGGAGATGCAGGAAGGTGGGAAAATGGGCAAAACCAAGGGGAGAGGAACCAACAAATACACACAGGAGGAAGGGGGACCCCGGGTAGTACTGGGAAAATGGGGACACAGACAGACAAAATGGTTGCGGCTGGGGGTCCCCTTCCCGAGCTCATTTCCCCCTCTCCTCAGCAAATCCAGACGCGGCAGCCTCTAGTGTCCAGGCCTCCAGCTTCCCCCGTGAGTCAGGGGTGGCTCCTTCTCTGCCCAGCAGGGGCGAGGAGCAGCGGTATCAGAGGCGGTGGCGGCGGTGTGATGGTCCCGGGGGCTCCGAGTGTGTCGGGGGCTGGGGCGGGGGAGGGGGGCAGGCGAGGCCCCGGGCGTCCCTAGCGGTCCAGGTTCATAGTCCAATGCTTGCCTCCGGCCGCACAGCTGTCCCTGGCGGCTGAAGAGGTAGCGGCCCCGCTCGGAGGACCCCCGGCGGCAGCAGCCTCGCCCTCGTTCTTGAGGTCTTGGAAGACCTGCGTGAAGAAGTGGGGATCGGCGTTGAGTCGTAGCATCTGCGGGCTGAGCCGCTGGATTAGGCGCAGGCAGCGCTGCCAGAAGCGCTCCTTGTCGGGCTCCACGAGGAAGGGCTTGAGTGGGTAGGAAATCTCATTGCCCATGTAGGAGTAGGCGAGGTAGAGGCAGGTGAGGAAGGCGGCCTGCAGCTCGGCGGCCGACGCCAGCTCGTCCCCGCGCAGCGACTCGCGACACAGCAGGTACACGAACACCAGGTTGGCGGGTGTGATGAAGGCCTGGTCTTGCCAGCCCTGCAGCAGCAGCGAGCGGTCCACGCCGCGGAACCAGCCCACCAGCTCGCCGGGGCTCAGCTCCTTGAGGCGATAGCAGCGCCGGCACACGAAGTCGCCCAGGCAGCGTAGCAGCTCGCCGGTGGAAGCTTGCACGATGATCCGCCTCGGCGAGCCCCCGGGCACTGGCGGCGCGGCCTGTGGGGCAGGGGGTGGCGGCGGAGGCGGCGGTTTTCCTCCGCTTGAGCCCGGCGGCGCTGCGGCCGCGCTGCCCCCCGACGACGGCTCGCAGGCGGCGGCGGCCGCAGGCACGGTGGGCACCGGCACGGCCAGGGGCTTGGTGGCGCCGCCGTCGGGGGGGTCGCGGCCCTTGCGAAGGAGGTTCTCCCGGTTGCGCTGCTGGACCAGGGGGTCAGGGCCCGAGGACGCTGGCTTGGGCGTCACCTTCTTGCTGCCTTTCTTCTTCTTGGCGGATGCGGCCACCAGGCGCTTCCAGGTGAGCGCCGAGATGAGCACAGACGGCCGCTTGAGCCGGCTCTCGCCTTTGCCGCTTTTGCCGGCGGGCGGCGCGCCGTAGCCCCCCAGCGCCTCGTCGCCCGCGGGCGGCGCCTTCTTCTTCTCCTCCGGCAACCCGCCGGGCCTTCGGCCCTTGGCCGAGGAGGCAGGGGACAGGGACAGCACCGTGCCCATAGTGCAAAGCGGGCTGGCCCCGGGCCCCGGCGGGAACCGCCGCTACTGCAGCCCGCAGGGACCCGGCGGTGGGGGGCCTGGCCCCGGCCTGGGCGCGGGGACTGGCAGGGAGGCGGTGCTTTGCTGCGAGGCGGCGGCGGCTGGAGTCTGAGCTGCGCCAGCTGCAGCGCCAGCCCCACCCGGGGCCCTGCCCTCGCCTCGCCTAGCAGCGCCGCGCCCGCCTCACGCAACCAATCCGCGCCCGAATTGTCTTCCTGACTGGCAGCTCGTCTGACTAATCAATTCTCGCATGCTCACCTCAGGTCCCGCCCCACCCCCACCCTCGGTTTCGGGTTCTTTTCCTTCACTCGAGAAGGGGAAAGGGGGAAAAGGTAGACGTCGTTCGAGGGGTGTCCTCTCGGGTCACCGTTGGGATGGGAGCGGCTGTTCCCTCTCCCCCTTCTAGGTTCCAGGACCCTGGGTCAGCTTATTTTGATGCCCTGGGTCGTGGTAACCCAGACGCCTTGGGGACACCTCCCCCTTTTTGTATGTTTGTGAGGGACGTCGTGGGCAGTGAGTCCCCTCATGCGGGCGCCCCGGCCCGAGCTGGGTCATCCTGCACTGACTTCTCCAATGTGGCCGCCGGGCCTCTTCCCTCTCAGCTGATACCGAGTGCAACAGCCAGCGCATTTTTGCTGGGCAGGGGAGGGGATGCTAGTGGGACGAGAACCTTCCCAGGTCACCCTCCGCATCCCGGGGCCCTAGCACTGGGCGCAGCAAGACCGTCCGATGTACCTGAAGCCGCTGTTTGCCGGCCTGGCGGGCAAGGTGCTAGGCTGTGGTCACGCGGCAGCTCCTCTTTGAGCTCTCGGTTCCCACCCTGATCCCACACTTGGGTTGGTGATGTACGGTTGGTCCCTGGGGAAACGTCTCTTGTGTAAAGAGAGATTCAAGAGGCTTGGCCCAACCTAGGCCCTGGGTCCAGGTTGAGGTGGGTTTTCATCGTTAATGCTTCTTGCTGCCCAGGCTTCAGGCTGCCCTTTATCCCAGCTACAAGCAACTAGGCTAGGCCCTGCCCACTTCTCTCTCTGGGTCTGTTTTCTCCACGATACCTGCGAGGCTTTTGTCCTGATTTTGGACTGGAGTCCATAATGGGTAAGCACTGGACTGCGAACTACGCAGGGTTCGAAACCACCAGCCGCTCCAAGGGAGAAAGATAAGACTTTCTGCTCCTGCAAAGATTTAAAAGCCTGGGAAATCCTATACAAGGTCTCTGTGAGTCGGAACCAACTCAAAGGCAACGAGGCGTTAACTTCAGGCCCTCCGCCCAGCCTGCGCTGGGCCTGTTTGATTTGCTTTTAGGACTGTGTCTACCCTCCTTGGTGCCTGTCTGTGTCTTCCTCAGGGCAGATATCTTTGAAGGTAGGTAGAGGTTTGATGGAGCCGCAAGGTCGGTTTGAACCACAAGGTCAGAGGTTCAAACTCACCAGCTGCTCCTCAGAAACTCTATACAGGTCGCTATGAGTCAGACCCAACTCAACAGCACTTAGAAACAATAGATTTGATGAAGAGAGAAGCCATTGCCTACAGATTTATCAAAAACTTGAGAACTGTCTCCCTGACATTGCCTCCAGGCTCCTCAGACCATCAACAGGGCTCCAAGGAGCTGCCTTGCTTAGGGTTAGTGTAGATTTGCGTGTATTTCATTCCAGATCGGCTGTGCAAGAATTCCTTTGGGCTCCCAGCCACTAGATAGAGGCTTTTCTTAACTTCCCTGCAGCCCACTTCCCTGTGCCTCTTCTGAAGGCCCCTGGTTTGGCTTTGTTTTCATTCTTCACCCCTTTACCACCCCCATCCTGACTCAGCACCTAATGTACACTCTTTCAATAGGGTCTGTCCTGCTACCTTGGAGCTGATCTTTATTCTCTGGGAACCCTAGCTGTTCTACCTAACCTTTCATTCTCCCCATACTTGCAGAAAATGTTCCCTCTTTTCAGCTCCTGCAATTGCCCCACTTTCTCCTACAAGGCCTTCTGAGTCAGCCTTTATCTGACACCCAAGGAACAGCCAGCTCCCCGGTAGTTAAGGACAAGCCCCATGGAGACTGAGCTGTGCTGGCAGAAACACCAGGCACGTGGACCTGAGTGGCACGTGGGTTCTCCCAGCTCTGCTCCCAGGAGTCCCTCATTGACGTAAGGCCTATTGCTAGTGTCGAGATCTTCTGTGCCACACCCACAGATGTCACCACCATCTGTTTGGTGCTCCTCTCTAGGCCAACTGGTGACTTCCTAGTGTCCTCTTGTTCAGAATGAAGAATACCTGCCCAAATCAGGTGCCCAGAGGGGCTCATTTCCCATTCTCTTCATTCTACCCTGCTCCACTCTCCTCATTGCTATCCTTCTTAAATCTCCAAACTTCCAACTCTGGCCAGAACCCTCCCTTAGACCACCAGCCTGTCTTTTGTCAACTCTTGAAATCCCACATACTCCAAGAGGAATTTTGGATTGATCAATAGGGCTCTAAGGCTCTTTCTGACATTGGCCTTCCTAACTAATGCCCCCAGCAACAGCTGCTGTGTAACTTGGTTAGTGCTGGACCCTGCGCCCCCAGCCCAAGACATACAAGATGGATATAGATGAAATTGTACAGTACAGACCAAACAATCAAAGCAGATCCGTAAAGAGTGACAGCATTTCTATTATATACATGCCAGAAACATTAGAGAATGAGGTGGAGGAATGTTATGTTTTCTGCAGGGTGAAGGCCAGGAGAGATAACCACCATGACACCAGAAAGACTACATGGAGGAAATAGGCTTTACCAAAAGATAGCAACTTCCCCACCACATCTTCCAATTACCTTTCTGGTTGGATTATATTTAGGATCTATATGATGTGATTAGTTCAAATGAATGTTACTTCTTGTTTGCCCATTTGCTGTATGCTCCTCTGGGGCTATGCTGGCTGTATTGTAGTTGTTAGGTACCTTTAAGTTAACTCCAACTCATAACAATCCTGTAACAGAATGAAACACTGCCCTCTCCTGCACCATCCTCACAACTGTTTTATATTTGAGCCCATTGTTGCAGCCACTGTGTTAATCCATCTCATTCCTCTTTTTCACTTTACCAAGTGTGATGCCCTTCTCCAGGAACTGGTCCCTTCTGATAACATGTCTAATGTGCATGAGACCAAGTCTTACCATCCTCAATTCTAAGGAACATTCAGGTTGTACTTCTTCCAAGACAAATTTATTTGCTCTTCTGGCAGTCCATGGTACTTTAAACAATCTTCTCTACCACCATAATCAAAGGCATCAATTATTCTTTTGTATTCCTTATTCTTTGTCCAGCTTTCACATGCATATGAGATGATTGAAAATATCATGGGTTGGGTCAGACGTACCTTAGTCTTCAAAGTGATATCCTTGCTCTTGGACACTTTAAAGAGGTTTTTTGCAGTAGATATGTCCCCATGCATGCAATACGTTGTTTGATTTCTTGGTTGCTGCTTCTTAAGTGATCATTTTGAATCCAACTAAAATGAAATCTTTGACATTAATCTTTTCTTCATTTATCATGATGTTTTTTGATCCATTTGTGAGGGGTTTTGCTTCCTTTACATTGCATTATAATCCATAATTGATCTTTATCAGCAAGTGTCTCAAATCCTCTTCACTTTCAGCAAGCAAGTTTGTATCATCTTCATATCGAAGGTTACTAATGAGCCTTCTTATGCCACATTCTTTTTCATCTAGTCCAATTTCTTCAATTATGTGCTCAGTGTACAGATTAAGTAAATATGGTGAAAGAATACAACCATGACACATACCTTTCCTGATTTGAAAATATGCAGTATCCCCTTGTTCTGTTTGAATGACTGCCTCAGATCTATGTACAGGTTCCACATGAGCACAATTAAGTGTTCTGGAATTCCCACTCTTCACAATGTTATCCATAGTTTGTTGGGATCCACACAAATGTCTTTACATAGTCAATAAAGCACAAGTAAACATCTTTCTGATATTCTCTGCTTTCAGCCAAGATCCGTCTGACGTAAGGAAAAATATCCCTCATACCACATCCTCTTCTGAATCCTGCTTGAATTTCTGCAACTCCCTGTCAATATGCTGCTACAACTGTTTTTGAATGATCATCAGCAAAATTTTACTTGTATATATTAGTATTTTCTACATTCTGTTGGGTCACCTTTCTTTGGAATGGGCACAAATATGGATCTCTTCCATCAGTTGGTCAGGTAGCCCTCTTCCAAATTTCTTGGCACAGTGCTTCCAGAGCTGTATTAGTTTGTTTAAACAATTTGTAGTATGTCAGTTTATGGAGCCTTGTTTTTCCTCTAATGCCAACTATCATCAAACCTCTTCTGACTCAGAGCAACTCTATATAGGGTTTCCAAGAAGCAGCTGGTGGATTTGAGCCATCTACCTTGTGGTTAGCAGTCAAGTGCTTATCCTAAGACTTGTTGTTAGGTGCCATCAAATCGGTATGAACTCATGGTGACCTTACACAACAGAATGAAACACTGCCAAATCTTGTGCCACCTCCCAATTGTTGATATGCTTGAATTCATTGCTGCTGCCACTAAGCCAAGCCATCTCATTGGGGGTCTTCCCCTTTTTCAATGACCCTCCACTCTACCAAGCATGATGTCCTTCTCCAGGGACTGTTCGCTCCTGATAATATGTCCAAAATATTAGCAATGAAGTCTGGTCATCCTGACTTCTAAGGAGCCTTATGACTGTTGTGCTTCTTCCAACAAAGATTTGTTTATTCTTTTGGCATTTCATGATACTTTTAATATTCTCGTTCAACACCATAACTCAAATGCATCAATTCTTCTATGATTTTCAGTCACTGTCCAACTTTCACATGCATATGAGGTTATTGAAAATACGATGGTTTGGGTCAGGTTTACCTTAGTTCTCAAACTGACATCATTGCTTTTCAACACTTTAAAGATGTCTTGTGTAACAGATCTGTCTAATGCAATACATAGTTTTATTTCTTGACTGCTGCTTCTATGTGTGTTGATGGTTGATTCAAACAAAAT